AAAACCTAACGAATATGAAAGAACTATTATGTAAAATAATATCATGGAGACACATCAGGTAAAGCACTAAAGGCTAAAAGAATGCAGAGGCCTCTCCTATAAGGTTAAGGATGGAAGAAAGTAGATAGATCTACTTTATCCCCAAAACCTCTCTTTTCTTACTCCTTGGATTAGTCTTATATCAGATTGATGTTAAATTTTAAATATATATATTTTTATAATTCTATCAAATAATAAAAATTATATGACTCTTTTTGAAATTAAAATTATTGGGGTAAGTGGTTAATAACACTGTGTAAATTTCAAGTTCACAACATTATAATAGGACATCTGCCTGCTCTACTGTGAAGTTTAGTCTCCTTCCTTCACCTGCCTTTAACCTCTTCATCTCCTGCCCACCACCCTTCCCTTCTGGCAACCACCATTTGGTTGTCTGGAACTGGGAGGTGGGGTTTTTTGCTGGTTTCCTTGTGTCCATGTGTTGCTTTTTGCTTTATATCCCACATGAGTGAAATCATAGTTTTAGTCCTTTCCTGGCTGACTTACTTCCTTAGCATAATCCTCTCAAGATCCGTCCATACTGTTGCAAGTGGCAATAATTAATCTTTTTAGGTCGGAGTACTATTCCACTGTATATACATACCAAGTCTTCTTTATCCAATCATCTGTTGAAGGACACTTAGGTTGTTTCCATGTCTTAGCTATTGTGAATAATGCTGCAATGAACATAGGGTTCCATATATCTTGATAAGTGTTTTCATTTTTTTCTGGTAGATACCCAGAAGAAGGGTTGCTGGTTCATGTGTTACCTCTGTTCTTAATTTTTTCTGATGACCCTCCATACTGTTTTCCATAGTGGCTGCACCAATTTACATTCCCACCAACAGAGCATGAGGGTTCTCTCTTCTCCATATTCTCAACACTTGTTATTTCTTGTCTTTTTGATAATAGACATTTTATCAGGTGTGAAGTCGTATCTCATTGTGGTTTTGATTTGCATTTCCCTAATAACTAGTGATGTTGAGAATCTTTTAATATATTGGAAGGCCATCTGTATGTCTCCCTTGGGTAATTGTCTATTCAGGTCTTCTACCCCTATTCTAATCAGATTTTGTTGTTGTTGAACTGTAAGAGTTCTTTATATATTTTGGAAATTAGCCCCTATCAGAGGTGTCCTCTGCAAATACTTATTCCCATTCAGTTGATTGCCTGTTTTGTTGTTCTTCTTAATCCATTTTCAAGGATATTTTTTCCATTAATTTTTAGAGGGAGTAGGAAGGAGGGAGGGAGGGAGGAAGGAAGGAAGGGAGAGAGAGAAACATCAATGTGAGAGAGACACAACCACTGGTTGCCTCCTGCACACACCTGAACCGGGGCCAGAGATTGAAGCTGCCACACAGGTACCTGCCCTTGATCTGGAATCAAACTCACAACCCTTCAGTGTGAGGACTGATGCTCTAACTATTGAGCCATGCTGGCCAGGGCAGTTGCCTTTTTGTCTTTGACAGTTTCTTTTGCTGTGCAGAAGGGAGAGGGAAAGGGAGAAACATGGATGGGAGAGTGAAACATTGAACGGTTGCTTGCAGCACTCCCCCTACCAGAGATCAAGCCAGCAACCCTGTCATGTGCCATCTCCAGAATAGAACAGGCAACCCTTTGGTACATGGGAGAGTGCCCAACGAACTGAGCCACACCTGACAGGGCCATATGGATCTTTGATGTCAGCATACTGGATCTGGTCAGTGCTAGCTAAATTCCTGCAGTTGGGCAACCTTGCATCAGCCATGAAGTCTTGGCCAAGGCCGAATCTTCTACAAGCAGAAACTGGGACTGCTAATGCCTGTAATATGCTCATAAGGAAACTGTTAGTGTGTGAATTCCTTTTATCAGTTTGTCTGTACATTTTATTCTAATTCCATTTCATGGTTAGTCAGTGTACTATGAAGTTTTTATTCACTGTTACAATATCTTTAGCTTTTTCTTTTTTCTCAGGATTGCTTTGGCTATTCAGAGTCTTTTGTAGGCCCATAAAATTATATAAAATTTTGTTTTATCTCTCTGAAAAATGTCATTGGAATTTTGATGGGGATTGCATTAAATTTGTATAGTGCTTCACATATATGGCCATTTTAACAATGCTAAATCTCCTAATCCATTAACATGAAAGATAAATAAAATATCTTTCTATTTACTGGTCTTCTTCAATTTCTTTCAACAATGTACTTTTCAGTATAAAGTTCCTTCACATCCTTTGTTGACTCCTATGTATTTTATTTTGATTGTTCCAATGTAAATAGGATACTTTGCTTTATTTCTCTTTGTGATATTTTGTTGTTAATATATAAGAATAGCCCAGGCGGGTGTGGCTCAGCAGTTGAGCATTGACCTCGGAACCAGGAGATTGCAGTTTGATTCCTGGTGAGGGCACATGCCTGGGTTGAGGGGTTGATCCCCAGTTGGGGGTGTGCAGGAAGCAGCCGATCAATGACTCTCTCATCATTGATGTCTCTCTTTCTCTCTCCATCTCTCTCCCTCTCTCTCTCTCTGAAAGCAATGAAGACATATTTTTAAAAACCCAATATAGGAAATTTTTCAAAATATGTACCAACACGATGAATTCTTGTACACTGATATTGTATCCTGCAACTAACTTTATTTGTGTATTTTCTTTAAAAGTTTTTTGGTGGAGTCTTTAGGGTTTCCTATATAGAGAATTTTGTCATATGCAAATAGTGACAGCTTCCCTTCTTCCATCTAATTTAGATGCCTTTTAGTTCATTTTCTTGCCTATTTTCTCTGGCTAGGAATTCCAGTACTCTGTCGAATAACAGTGGTGCAAATGGGCATTCTTGTCTTGTTCCTGATTTTACAAGAAAAGATTTCAGTATACTGTTTCACATATATGGCCATTTTAACAATGCTAAATCTTCTAATCCATTAACATGAAATATCTTTCCATTGACTATGACATTAACTGAGTGTCACAGCATGCGTTTATTATGTTGAGATACTTTCTTCTCTACCTAATTTATTGTGTTTTAGTCATAAGTAGCTGTTGTATGTTGTCAAATGTCTTTTCTGCATCTTGAAGTGATCATGTGATTTTCATCTCTTATTTTGTTAATGTGGTGCATCACACTGATTGATTTGTGAGTGTTTAATCATCCTTCCATCCTTGAAATGAACTTCACTTCATCATGATATGTGATACTTTTAATGTATAGTTGTATTTGATTTACCAGTATTTTGTTTACAATTTTTGTATTGATACTCATTAAGGATATTGGCCTGTATGTTTATTTTGTGTGTGTTGTCCTTGACTGGCTTTGTTATCAGTTAAAAGTTGGCCTCATGAAATGAGTTTGGAAGTATTCCCTCCTTTTGAATTTTTGGAAGAGTTTGAGAAGGATTGGTATTTAATCCTCTTTGAATGTGTTGCAGTATTAAACAATGAAGCCATCTGGGCCTGGACTTGTGTTTAAGGGGAAGTATTTGATTACTGCTTAAATTTCCTTACTAGTTATCCTTTACTTAGGTTTTTCAATTCTTATATTTTTAATTTCAGTATAGTTGGTATATAATATTTTATCAATTGTATTAGTTTTATGTATATAATATAGATTTGAAAATGTTATACCTTACCATGAGATCATCCAACTAATTCTACCATCAACTGTCATGGTGAAAATTTATCACAATAATGTTTCCCTTCACCTTTTTCATGCATCCCCGCATCCACCTCCCCTCTGGAAACCATCCCTTTATTCACTGCTTCTATGAGTTTGTTCTTGTGTTGTTTAGTTTTGTGTGTTTATTTAGATTTCACATATAAGTGAAATTATATCGTATTTGTTTTTCTCTTTTATACTTATTTAACATAGCACAATACACCCTAAGGCCATGTATGTTTTTGCAAATGGCAAGATTTCATTCTTTTTTATATTAGCGCAATATTCCAGTACGTGTGTGTGTGTGTGTGTGTGTATATACATAAATTCTTTAACCATTCATGTAATTATGAACTCCAAGTTTGCTTTCACATCCTGGGTAATGCAGCAAGGAACATATGTGTCCATGTATTTTTTTCATTAATTGGATAAATACCCAGAATTGCAGTTTTTGGGTTGTATTGTAGATCTATTTTTACTTCTTTAAGCAATATCAATAGAGTACCCCACAGTGGTAGCACCAATTTGCAATCCCACCAACAGCTCACAAGGCTTCCACTGTTTCCACATCCTTGCCAACACATGCTGTTTGTTGGTTGGACTTTTGAACACAGCCATCCTTACTGGTATAATGTGGGATCTCATAGTGGTTCTGATTTTCACTGTCTTGGTCATTAGTGATATTGAGCATCTTTTCAAATGTCTGTTAGCCATAAGTATGTCTTCTTGGAGATATGTCTTTTCATTTCCTCTGCCCATTTTCTGATGAGTTGTTTAATTTTTTTACTGTTAGCATTATTACACATGTTCCCCATTTTTCACATTTAGAACCCATCTACCTAGACCCAGTCCTACCCCCCTACCACTCTGGCCCTAACCACATTGATGTCTGAGTCCATGGGATAAGCATATATGCTCTTTGGCTATTCTCTTCACCTTCTTTCATCCTGTCTGCCCCACCCACTTCCGAATTTGTTATTGTATACAATATCAAAAGAGATTTGAATAAAATAAAAGCTATACATTGCTCTACTAAATTCATGGAAATATTTTTTTCTTCTTTATTTTTATTTAGTTTATTGGATTCACATTGGTTAATAAATGTATACATGTTTCAAATGTACAAATCTATGATACATGATCTGTTTATTGCATTGTACCCACCACCCAAAGTCAGTTCATTTTCTGTCACATATATTAGGTCCCCTTTTCCCTTTACCCCACCCCCACATCCCTCTGATAACCACCAAACTTGTCTATGTCTACGAGTTTCAGTTTTGTATCTCACATATGAGTCACATCATATGGTTCTTAGCTTTTTCTGACTTATTTTGCTGAGCATGCTACTCTCAAGGGCCATCCATGTTGTCACTAATGGCCAAACTTAAGATTCACATTAGCCCAAAATAACAATAGTCTAATAAAAAATTTCCTGGAGAATTTCAAAGCCTGAAAAAATACATGGCTATTAAAAATCTACATCCACCTGAGGAAACCATCACTGTAACAGTGCAATCTACATTGTACAATGTGTGAAAAACTTTAGAGTAATAAAAATAAAAGTTTTGGGTACTTACTTGTGCATGCCTCCATGATCTTTGTCCAGGTAGCATTCTTGTGACAAACAATACGGGTCGGAAGAGGAGGATCCTTAGGAATATATCCTGGGAGACACTCATAGTCTATTTCAACCCCAATATTATAAGGGGGTGTAATATTACCCTTGGGTAGCATAGAATGGAATTTCGGTGGGTCTTCACATTCATCTGGGCATAACAGAATAAGAACATGAAAGTAAATTATTTTCTCTTTTTCACAAACCCCAGATTAAGGCCTGAGAGCAGGCAAGGAGTACAGAATGAATGGAAAGGTCCTTGGGAAAACTGGAAGTGATTGTGCCAGGATTTTACCAAACTGTAAGCGATGCTTGTTTTAAATAAGGTCTATTAGCTTTTGCTTACTTTGGGAATAAGCTGAATATTCATTCAACAGTAAACTGAAGAGACAGGAGAAATAATTTTGGCTTTAAAATATATTTATAGGTATGCATCCTTCCCATTTTTTCTGAGTTCATTTCCCACACCCTTCTCCCCTAGGAAGACTTTATAGCCCTCGATCAGATTGCTCTTCCACAGTCTGAAAGGCAAACTAATGATGACTTCTCACTTCAGGCTCAGTCTCCTCTCAGGAGACAAGATCCTAAAGATCAGGGATCACGTGCCTCCTTTTTCACTGCACTCTGGCCAGTGGTGCTCAAAGAATGCTATGGTAAGTGCTGACTATTACACAAGAGTTGTGAATTAATCGATCAAAATAAATATGGACTAAACTAGTTGACAATATAAAATTGGAGTAGTTCAAAAATGGTGGCACTCTAACAAGAGGCTGAGTGTCCCTGCTTCCAACCATGGACTGGATTTACAGCTAAAATACTGCATAGGCAGCTAGTAAAAACAAGGGAAATATAGCTGATTGGATATATTTTGATGAAGGAGCACTGAAGAAACATAGTAGAGACTGGTAGGACAGGGGAAGGGGTGGAACAGGAGAGTCCCCCCACAAAGGCCATGCTTGGCTCAAAGACCTGAGGGTTAGAGGCTGCAAAGGTCCCTCCCCTTGGTAGGGGGGACTTGTTGGGGGCATAGATGTTGATCATGCTCTACTGACAGTGATTGTGAAAGGGGGGAAGGCACCTAAAAGGAATAGGACCATAGTTGTTTAATGATTATTCACCGTACTAACTATAGATTAGAAGGTTTTCTTCAGAACCTGGGAAACTGGAGGATGTGCTGCAAGAAGAAAAACAGGGCTGTAAAAAGATAAGACACGATGGGACCTGGAGGAGTCCTTTGCTCACGAAAGAAAATGTATTTTGATACGAGACAAAGCACAGAATGCACTTTGATTTAGTTGCTGTGCCTGGAGACTGACCCCTCTAGAAATTTGCCTCTGGAATACTGACCATTCTCAGGTCCCAGGAACTGGTAGAGCTGGGTTTTAACCCCATTGAAAGTTAACTTCTTTTTTATCTGACTTTAAGATCCTGGAAAGAGACACAGGAATGACAGGCTCTGTAGCCATCCTCTCACCCCTTCCCCCCTTGCATGCAGCCTTTCTTCTTTATCCCTATATAATCAGCCAGCTATTAAGGAGAGAGCAGAGCAGATTTCATGTGCTCAAATCCTGCTGCTCTCTCCCATACTGCCAGCATTATTGGAATAAACACTCATATATGATTCAATTCTGTCTCTGCTTAATTGGCCCAAGTGGAGACAGGCAGCCCAGACCCATTGTGTCCAGTTTCAGACTGGCATCCAGAAGCAGAGATCTCAAAGCCTCAGCAATGGAAAAGGGAAGGAGAGCCCATGCACATCGAGCAGAGGGATCCAGGAGAGCTGTCTGCCTTTGAGGTGGGGTCTGAACCTTCCCAGTGGAAGAACACGCCTAATGGCAGCAGCTTCAACAGGAGATATTCAATCCTGGTGCTGACTGCAAGAAAGGCTGTGTCGCACAGTGTGTGGCCTCAGAATAGAAAGGGGCCTGTGGGCTGCCCCAGCAGTAAACTAATGGGACCACCTGCTTTCCTGTACAGCATTGTATAGAGCCCCAGAAAGCATTTGAACTGTATGGTGCAAGAAAGTGGAAGTGAGACTTCTCGCCACCAGAGAGAGACTGAAGCTGCCTGCGAGGCACATTAGGGATTGTGATCTGCTCTGAAGAGAGCCGGGATGCTGAGCAGAGCAGGGAATCATGGCCACATCTTTACTGAGATCACCTGTGTGAGCGAACCTGCATGGGGCTAACTTTGTAATCCCTTCTGCTAGGACCTGTGGTGCAAGGATGCCACATCCTAAAGAAGCTGGTTTTCTGCCTGTTTGTTACTTTATGTTTTTATTATTGGTTGGCACCCCATGGCATCTACCTTCCTGGCTTATATTGGGGAGGCAGATCAGCAAAAGCCCGGTTTTGTGTTTGCATTGTTCAGCCAACAAGAGCTGGGAAAGTACCGGTAGAACACGCCTGCCTATACTGCAGGATAGAGCACCACCTCCACCGGAAAAGGGGTGGTCCAGCTCACTGAAGCCCCTGATACCCACTGCTGGGCACAGTTTGATGGGGGAAGAGAGAACAGCTCAAAGGGGAATATTTCTTTTTTTTTATCTTCAAATTTAAATTTATTAAGACATTCAGCTATGTCTGTCAGTCTACATCCAAATTTGCTACTAAAAATAAAATAAAGTCACATCCCACATTAGGAATACCGAGTCTGAAAAAGACTTTTTGAGCCAAGACTATTGTATAAATAAATGACTAGTTTCTTTTCATATCAAAATTCCATAAAAAATTACATTCCCCCCTCCCCAGTTCTACCTGTAGCCATAACGAATGTAAAAATTTAAATATGACACATCCTTGCCAAAGAAAAGGTGCAAAGTCTATTAACAGCTTTAAAAGTGGCATTTGCAGAGAGTGATCATACAGTTATGTACTCATTCACCAGTGCAAATATTGCCATAATTTAACAGTGTAGATTCGGTTGCCAGAACTAAACATTACACAGGACTGAAAAGTACACGAGTGCTTTTATCAGTGCCCTAAAGCCCTTCCCACTTTGGTCTCCTACCCACACTAACATGGACTCCAAAGTGTTCATTAGAGTTTTAGTTTACTTCACACAGCCAACAAAGTGTACAATATATTAACAAAGTTTCATATACACAAAATATCGAAGACTCCATCAGAAAGTTCAAGAGTCTTGGATTACATGAATGTACCCCCAAGGCCCAAGTGCCCCACCCCCCTCGAAGCACATACCAAATATGAGCGTGTTTTGATCTCTGGATACAATCAATGCTTTTATATCCTTGAATTCAAACAGTGCTGTACAAAACTCAATATTATCACCAGACTGAGTTCCAATTAGCTGAGGGGAAAGGGGGTGGAGAAAGGGGCTGGTCACTACTCATATTCTGCTGCAAGAATGATCCTGTCCCATAGAAGGTGAAATGTCAGTTCCACTTCTGCCTGCCTCTTCCCAGACTGTCCTTATGTTCTTTGTCTTCCTTTCAGACACACAAATCTGATTTTTTTATCCCTTACAAATCAGGGGCAGCTTCTGAAGTTGTTGAGGCTGAATTTCCTTGGCAAACCTCTACAAAACATCAGCATAGGATATATAAATATATTTTGATTAGCATACATTGCAAAATTTCTCTCAAAGGGGAATATTTCAAGAGTAAGATTCTCAAGGACTATAGTTTGGGAACCAGAAGAAGTACTTAAAACCCCTTCTGGGGCCTGGGCAGGTAACGTGCTCATGAGAGTCTCTTTTGATCTATTGCACAGAGCCAAGGACACCTAAAACTGCCCATACAGAAAAGACAACAGTCGCAATTCAATCTGAACCTGTACCAGGTCATTTTAGAGGAAACTAGAGCTAGAGAATATGGTAGGGACTGAGGAGTTGGCTTTGAAGCAGAGATTAATTTCCCCACAGTGAGTGCCTGACACTGAAGTCTCTTAGTAAGAGGTCCAATGGCAATAGCTATACAGCTGGCCTGCACCCTAAAGACTGTCTTCAGAAGATGCTGGAGTAAGACCAGGCAACCAGAAGGGGGAGGCAAAGTAGATGACAGGTAGAAGTGGTCCACAAAGAGCCTCAGACCAACCAGCTACATAAAGAAACCAGGAGACAAACCTACATAGCTCCTGATATTGGCTGCACTAAAGTGCCTCCCAGGAGGCCCCAAATCAGCATACAAAATCGTAAGCCTGAGAAAAAATAATCTGCCCAGACAAAATTAAATTGGCTGGCTTTTAAAAAACAATTACCATTATTATCATCACCCTTACTATTATTACTGGATGTGTTCTAGGAAATTAGTGACAGCCACAAGACACTTAAAGGGAACTTCCAGGAACTTAATGGGAAATACAAAGAACTTAGCGAAAGCTACATCAGCATGAGAAAACGTATAGATATTAGGAGTAAGAACCAGGCNGAAAGCTAAATCAGCAATGAAAAAGCATATAGATATTAGGAGTAAGAACCAGGCAGAAATGAAGAATACTATATCTAACATCAAGAATACCCTGGAAGGAATTAAAAGTAGGCTCAATGAAGCAGAGGACTGAATAAGTGAATTAGAAGATAAGGTAGGAAAACAACTCAACCAGAGCAGCAAGCAGGAAAAATACTCAAAGAGCATAAGGGCAGTTTAAGAGAACTGTGGGACAACATGAAACAAAACAAAATGTGCACAATAGGGGTGCCAGAGGGGGAGGGAAGGAGGCAAGGGAGAGAGAACCTGTTGGAAGAAATAACGGCAGAAAACTTTTCTAAGCTGGTGAAGGAGAAAGCCTACCAAGTTCAGAAAGCACAGAGGGCACCAAACAAGAGGAACCCAAAGAGACCCACTCCAAGACACACCACAATCAAAATGGCAAATGTTAAGGACAAAGAGAGAATATTAAGGGCTCCAGGAGAGACAATCAGTGACCAACAAGAGATGCCTATAAGATTGTCAGCAGATTTCTCAACAGAATCACCTCAGGCCAGAAGGGATTAGCATGAAGTTTTCAAAGTAATGAAAAGCAAGAACCTGAAACCAAGACTGCTCTATACAGCAAGGCTCTCATTTAAAATGGAAGGGGAAATAAAGAGCTTCCCCAACAAAAGAAGGATAAAGGAGCTCAGTACCACCAACCCAGCACTGCAAAAAATGCCACAAGGACTGCTCTAAGAAGAAAAATATATTGACAGAAA